CGACGAAGGACTAACGTCCGAAACGTCAGTTCCTATTTTCACTACGGTGTATAACTTATCAATCTACGATAACTGTTTCATTAGAAACACCGACGCAGTCCACGCTAGTGTTTACTAGCCATCTTCTGTCATAAGAGAGTCGACTATGATAATAGGGAAACCGGCATTTGAGTCATCTCCTCCCTTCTGCACGCAATCAGTATTTTTTGTGTGTGTATGTTTACTGCAGATATTATTTCTGAAAGAAGATGCTGGTGATATTTTTTTCACAGGTACAGTGCTTTCTCGATATTTTTGGGAATGTATATTGAGAAATTCAACTGTGAATAAATTTATTACCCATAGTGATTGTTTTGGTTTGTCCTCATTAGCATTTTTTTGAATTGCGGTATTATTTACAAAGAAATGTATGGTTACATTTCTTTGTAAATCATACCACTTTCAAAAAAATTTTACTCCCAAAATATTGAACATATTACTCTCAAATTTTCAGTATTTACTAAATAAGACATTCTTTTTCGATTTCTGGAGTCGGTTTTTAATGCTAATGAGGAAAACTGGTCAATGATCGAACTTAACTGAATATGCATGAACTTAGACCACTGATCCCATAAGTCGGGTCGCTCAACCAGAATTGACAGGAGAGCGAAGACACCGAATTATGGAATCAATCGAGTGTGAACTGAGACATGACAAAATAGGTAAAAAAAATTTTTTAAAAACCCACAGAAAATTAACAGAAATAAATAAAAGTTTCAAAGTAAACGTTTGAATATCTTGCACTCGCTAATTGGATTTTATTTATTTGCATTCAAGTATACGCGGACTGATTTCTGATTTTAGGAATTATCTCAACCATTTAGGTTTCAAATGCTTATTAACGATGCATTCAAAATCATAATTTTGAGTCGCGTTTGCCGTTGATCCTGTTCGCTTGGAAATCGATCAATTTCATTGTGAAATTATGCTTGTCATAAATTCTGGCTGCCAAGTTTGGAGAATCTATCGATTGCATATTATTTTGCAATCGATATAGATTTTGCTCATTGTCGGCCTGTATTTTGTGGCCCATGAGTCATAGATAGATAGATAGATACTTTTATTTAAACAGGGTTATCCTATCAGTAAAATACAATAAATTTACTGTTATCAACAGGAGCCCTAAAGTCACGTAGCTCAAAGGTGCGTACATCAAGGCTAAACGATTGGTTTCGATTTTGAAATTTGATTATTTTCACAGACGAAAAGAAAACCAAAGCTAGTAAAAGAAAAACGAAAAGAAATAAGATCTTGGTTCAACTAAAACCGCTACGAATTTTCCCCCAACGCCAAATAAACGCAAGGGAGGTTTGTATTGTTATAAAACGTTGACGAGACGTTCAAGATGAGCTAGGAGCAGGCAAGGATCTCAACTGAATACCTCGATCCATATATCATAGACATCATTCATTTTACGTGAAATCTTACCTTCGAGGTCTTTTTCACAGCAAACAGTTACCAAAGTGAAGCTAGCGTCGGATTAGCAGCGTCGGATTGATATTCATTGAGATTCAGACTCATTTCCGGGGGAGGTCAAACAGGTCATTCTACTAAAATCCTCTCTTTCCCCTAACGGTGGCAAAATCTTAAACGAATTCCGATACTGTAAACTTTCTTCGACGAATTTACTGATTTGCTCAAGGGAGCACGTTAAAATTTTGATTGTGTTGGTTTATCTTTGATTTTATCGCACGTATTCTAAGATATAGCAGGCGTTCCTTGTAGTTCTTGTTTACGTGCGCGCGCTACACTTCATGGCAGGCGTTCCTTGCTTTACACTAGTTTTCACTAGTTTTCCACCTTGTTCCTTGCTTTAGTCGGGTTAGCGAATTTACTTCGAAAACCGACGAATATCTTGCGAGGAGCGGAGCTTACACGATCGTAAGCCATTTGGATCGGCCGAAACCAAAACACTACGAGGAACGCTTGTCAAGAGATGTATTGCGCGCGCTGGATAGATCAACCAAGAACAATGACTTTCCTTACACAAACAAAATTTTAATGTGCTCCCTTGATTTGCTCTCAGCCTCGGATAGGACGCGGATTACAAATCACGTTCAAAACATTCAACTGACAACAACAGACTGACGATTTAGTTTTTATCAAACGTTCAATTTATTCACTTCTAACCTCCATAGCGACTATAAAGCCATCCATGAACTGTAATTCGCAATTAAGGAGGCTAGAAAGTGTTTTGTGCCTTCACATTATGAGCTAAAAAACATTTTTATGGCTATGATATGACAGCAAGTAAACCTGGAAAGCCAAAGACTACAAACCAAAGATCACAATGAACATGAAAAAATGACGTAAGCAGGGCTGTCAACTCTCCCGGATAAACCGGGAGTCTCCAGATTTTGGACCGTATCTCCCGGTCTCCAGATTAGAGTCTCAAATCTCCCGGATAATCGCCGAAGCTGACCATTTCTTGTGAGACTCGACTTTCACAACCATAAAATTCCTATTATTTTGTGTTGTTTGTGTTATTTTAAATCGCTAACAAAATCAAAACGTTCCTCATAAACTGTTATTGCAAGCAGCCCATTGTAATATAAGCGATAATCTGATTGGTCAGAAATAAACCAATCACATCAAATGTTACAAAGTGAAAGACGTCTTTAATTTCGCGCGCTTTTTGACGCGCTGTGACGTCATGTCTATTCCCTATCAATTCTCCAGATTTGAATATCTTGGGGGTTGACAGCCCTGCGTAAGACATTGCTATGACAACATCAGAACCCTTGGTATGCCATCAAAAATGTTTATTTAAAGAATCATACTAACTCAGGAACCAAATGGTGAAATTTTTTTGCTGCTCATAGTTGGTTCGGGTTGTTGATTCAACACTTTGTTTGACTCTCCGGAATACTTGGTTATTACCTTCATGGTTGGAGGGGTTATTGCATTTATGGTGGGCTTTGATTACTACATTTATGGTTAAATTTTATTACATTTATGGTGTGTCTATTTTTACATTTATGGTTGACTGTCATTACATTTATGGTTGTTATTACATTTATGGTTGATTTTTATGACATCAATGGTGGGTATTACATTTATGGGTGTTATTACATTTAAGGGTAATGTCGCAATACCAAAGAAATGCGGCTTATTCACCTATTGGGCACTCTTTAGTCCCAACGGGATTAATGTATGAGTCAATTCCAAAGGTTCCCCCCCCCCCCCCCCGGGCATTTGACTTTTTGGGAAAAAAATAGTCAAATTCCCCACCATGCTAGTCTCCCCCACAGCCGCTTTCAGTGTCGTCACGCAACGCTTTCTCCTCTACTCAGGGGAGAAAGCGTTGCGTGACGACACTGAAAGCGGCTGTGGGGGAGACTACACCATAGGGGCCAACAAAATGATCAAATGCCCCACCGTTCAGGCTCCACTAAGTGGTCAAATGCCCACCCCTCCAATCCGGTGAATCTCTAATTTTGCCTAAAATGAAAAGTACAAAACTAATTTGCGTAAACATATTTATTGTTTTGGACTCCAAAAACTTATCTTCATCTTGTCGTTCTTTACTTCATCCACATTGGAAAGTTTTGTTTCTTTTCTTATTAATTCCAAGCTTTTCTTTCCCTGTTTTTCAAAGAAGCGACAAGTATAAGATTGTATTTTGAAACCAAATTTTTGTACAGTGGCGATTCAATTTAAATGGATCGTAATCAATTCGAAGTTCAACCTTTCTTTTGAAAAGCTTTTCTTACTTCTCTTGTGCCATCCCAGATTTTAAACAAAGGTATTTGGATGTTTTTAAAATTCACAGGCGAACCAGAGTCCTCTATAAGCACGATCCAAGCGTAAAATTTTGCAATACGCTAATTTATGCAAATTAGATAAGGGCCGCTGCATTTGAGTCGAAAGTCAATAATATATTCAGCGTCAAATAGTCCCTTTGCAGTTAACGGTCACGTGTCTGTACTGATGAGCAAATGTTTTTATTTTATTTTAAATTAAGAATTCTTTTTAGCTACTTGTAAAGAACTGAATGAAACGATATGTAACCAGTGTGTTACGAGATGCAGTTTTATTATATGATCTCGCGAAACAGGTTGTACGGAAATTGACTATGGTCAAATGCCCGGGGGGGGGGGGGGGGGAACCTTTGGAATTGACTCATACACTGCCTACCTTGTTCTCATCTTTTCACGGTGTATAATTTACCCTTTTATCATTACTGTTTCATTAGAAACACCGACGCAGCTCACACTAGATTTTAGCTAGAGTGATTTTCATATGATCGTGAAAGAATAGGCAAACTAATAGTTAGTAGTAGACTCTAAACCAATGATTTTTTTTTGTTCTTTATCAACTATTACAAACTAAATGGTCTATTTTCTTTCACGGTCATGTGAAAATCATTCTAGTTATCTCTTCTTTGTATCAAATACACACGAGTACATACATACAGTATTTTATGAGAAGGCGCGTTACGTATTTTGCAAGAGAGTACGCCGGAAGTAAGAAAATCATTATGCCCAAACACCCTATCGACGAATCATGAAGCCGATCAGTCTTACCGAAAGGAAATTTTTTGGCGCATGCGCAGTTTTCCGAAAGTGAAATATAATGAATGAAAATTATGCTTTCAAACCTGCTTTCAAACAGAGTTCTGTGTTTACTTTCGATCAAAATAAGAATTAGAAATGGGGAACATATTATTTTTATTTTTGGCAAGTCTTTTAACGTATGCGCTCTTACCCGGAGTCCAAGAAATCCTGGTCTCAAAAAATGGATTATGCCAGAGCCCTCGTTCTTCGCCGCAGGCAAGAAGAAACGCAGGCTCTGGTTATGAGATTTGGTTTTTCACTTCAAACCTGCTCTAGATGAATAAAATGTGAGTAAGATCAATAAACCACAAATCAGTGGCTCCTAGTCGAGTTAGACTTCCAACCTCGACTTGTAGCCATCTTGGTAACTCAAGCGAATTCGGAAAAGATATATTTTACAAGAAAGTTCTAGCTATTTGTACAATATATTCAAACAAAGGAACCGTCCTCTGGAAGCGTAGCAGCACTACTGCTAGCTGACGTGGCAGGGGAAGAATTATTTTTGTCATTCTGTGCCTTGGATGATGGTATGCGAGTGGTTTTGGCTTCAGCATCCCACACCAGTTTCTCGCCGACTTGTAAAGCAGGACCAAGACGATTGCCTGTCTCCAGGATCTGTTGACAAGGGGTACTATGTTAAACTGAGGATCATTTGATTTTGATTTATGAATAGTGCAATATTTGCAGCTCAGTAATCACGTGCTGATTAATTCACTGAGAGCAAATGAATGAACATCTTGATTCCCATGGGTGAAATATACTGGTGAGCAAACAAACTTTCTACAACCTGTTTCGAGAGATCGTAATAAAACTGCATTTCGTAACAAATTGGTTACACATTGTTTCATTCAGTTCTTTACAAGTAGCTAAAAAGAATCACTAATTTAAAATAAAATAAAATAATTTTGCTCACCAGTACAGGGTTTTTCTCTAGGTTCTCCGGTTTTCCTCCCTCCCCAAAACCAACTTCTAAATCCCAATTGGATCATTGGGCTTTCACCTATATGGAGCCTAGCTCTGTTGTGATTCATTGTCCCACGCTGTGATACAACAGCCAAAGCTTAATAGATTAAGATTTAACAACAAAGCTACCGAAAAGGATTCTGGAAGTGTAGGTATAAAACGTCATCATGCTTGAGGCCATCCTCGGGAACCCAGGGGTAAAATCCTAAACTTTTTAAATTTGGTAGCGAGAAACGAGAGACAGAACTTTATCCCTGGGTTTCCTAGGATGGCTTGAGGCCTACTCTAAAACTAGAATCATGCCAGGTATTTTAGAATGCATAGGAAAGTGTCGTCGTGTTTTAGGATATTCCTGCGTAATACTTACCTCTCTTTCAATATCGCCCCCTTTAGTTTTCCTGAAGACTTCCATTTTTTTCTCGTAAGCAGCAAAGTGTCTTGACGCCTGTTTTCGGTCTTCCATGTTGTACAAGAAGATAGCATAGTTCAGACTTATTGCTGGATCATCACTGAAATAAAAAATAGAAACACAAAAAAATTCAGAGGTCCCGGTAAATAAAATTAGGATTCGGAATAATTTTTTTATTTTTTATTTTGCTGTCGGAGAAAAACCAGAGAGCTCGGAGAAAACTTTCAATTTTATCGAACCCTGAAACAACCTCTGGGCTGATCAAAGTCAGGGCATGGCTAACTCACAGATCAAACCCTAATACAACCTCCAGGCTGATATTGGTCAGGGCATGGCTAAATCACAGATTGAACCCTAATACAACCTCTGGGCTGATCTAAGTCAGGGCATGGCTAACTCACAGATCAAACCCTAATACAACCTCCGGGCTGATATTAGTCAGGGCATGGCTAACTCACAGATTGAACCCTAATACAACCTCTGGGCTGATCTAAGTCAGGGCATGGATAACTCACAGATCGAACTAGAATTTAATCAAATAACAAGTAAACACTTAAGATGGTCGAGGGATCATAGTGGTAACAGGCAGCGCACTAAGAACGTGCAATAGTCAGTATGGAGAATTAAAGAAACTTCACAAGTACCAAGGTTCGCTTCACGCGCACTACCACTACATTCTAAATCTACAACATAAAACACTCAAATCGCACGATTTGATCCAGAAGAAAACCTTTTAGCAGGGAAGATAACCACACATCAAACGAACTCAACTCACATATGATCCAGTCTGAGCCGGCACTCGAACTCGGGCCACAGTGTTGAGAGGCGAGCGKTAAACCACTACGCCACCCATAATACCGATATTGATAAAAATAAACATAAATGATTGCTTAAGACTTACATGTCTAGCATAATGGCTTGTTCGTAGGCTTGTTTAGCATTGTCATGGTCATCGAGATGTGTCAATGCGATAGCCAGGAGCTGGAAGAGTTGTCCATGTTTAGGTTTTAGCGTAATAGCTGCACTCAGGAAATGAAATGCGGAAGCATATCTAGACAGTCATTAAGGAGACATGCGTAAAGTAATAAGAAGGTTTGATGGACAACATGTTTATAACAGACGTTTATTAGAAAAGATTCAAGTGTCTTGGGTCCTGCCACGGGACGATAGTCTAAGCACACTCGTTTCAAGGAGCAAGTGTGGCTTGGTTGGTAAGTGTGCTGCCTGCTAAGCAAGAGGTCCATAGTTTGATCCTCAGTGACCTCAAACACTTGTTTTAAGGAGCAAATGTGGCTAGGCTGGTTAGTGTGCTGTCTGCTAAGCAAGAGGTTCACAGCTTGATCTTCACTAACCTCACACACTTGTTTTAAGGTGCAAGTGTGGCTTGGCTGGTTAGTGTGCTGTCTGCTAAGCAAGAGGTCCATAGTTTGATCCTCAGTTACCTCACACACTTGTTTAAAGGAGCAAGTGTGGCTTGGTTGGTTAGTGTGCTACCAGCTAAGAAAGAGGTGCATAATTTGCTCCTCGGGAATCATAGGAGTGAAGCTGTGAAACTACAGTGTCAGTGTAAGGATACTGTTGCATTGTCAGGTGTATTAAACCCAAATTGTAGATAATGATCCATTCAAATGGTGCCATATAAGCAGCTCTTTTAAGGCAACTGATGGCCTAGAAAAAATGAAAGTAACAGTATAAACCAAAGAGAAATAGACATCTTATTTCGATCTTGTTGTTACAATAAACATGAAAATGAATAAAGTGATAAATAAAGGAAGCAAAATAGACAAACAAAGGGAATTAGGGAGGTAAGGACATGGATGGAAGGAATGAACCAAAGTAAGGGAGTGAGATAGATAGAGCAGGCATATTTAAATTGACAAGTGCGCGGCATTTCGGCCTTCAGAGCTAGAGGTCCAAGGTTCTCTCCTCAGGATCTCTACGTTTGTTTCAACTTCTCTCTGTTCTGTATAGCTTTAGCTTTAACCATAATATGGAGCACTGATAGACTGAGGGGGCAATGGGCGCACCTTCTAGCGCTTTATACATGACCCTCTGGCTCGGGAGAATTGAGTAACCATTCCCCGTGTTATCGAAGTATAATGGACTAATTCGAGGATACGGCGGCCATCTTGGATCGCAAGGCATTGTGGGGCGTGCAGGGGGCAAATAAAGGTTTGTTACAGTAATGATGTCGATTGATATTAACAGCTCACCGCAAGAGAATACAACAAAAGATGAATTAAGACATCACATCGATCGTCTTTACCCATAAAAGAAAGTCAAACACACGAAACTCTATACATTTTCAATCATCTTTGTTTTGTTTTACCCTTGCTGCCTGTCAAGATGGCCGCCGTATCGTTGAAGCAGTACAATACCTTTTCTTGTAGAGTAGAAAGGAATAGAGGGAGAGAGGGAAGGAAGAGAAGGAAACGAACAGAAAGTACGAATAGAATAAGGAAACAAATCGGAGAGAAATATTTGGAAGGAGGGAGGAAGGGAGGAAGAAAGGGGGGAAAGGACGAAGAAGGGAGGGAAGGGAGGAAGAAAGGAGGGAAGGGAGGAAGAAAGAAGGAAGGGAGGAAGAAAGGAGGGAAGGGAGGAAGAAAGGAGGNGGGGGAAAGGACGAAGAAAGGAGGGAAGGGAGGAAGAAAGGAGGGAAGGGAGGAAGAAAGGAGGGAAGGGAGGAAGAAAGGAGGGAAGGGAGGAGCCAAGGGTAGATCTATAGGACATAGCATAGTTACATACCGCAACATATTTTTTCTTGCCAAAGAAACACATTCCAATATTGTTCCACATGTGAGGTGATTCAGGTATCTTGGATGCAGCAATACGATATTTAGTGAGAGCAACATCAAAATCACCATGGGTTTGTATCATAGATCCTGCACCAAGTATTGCCTAAAAGAAAAAGAAAACATTTACCTTGTAACCTTTCCTTCCCAGGATTTGTAAGGATGCCCCCATGCAGAGAGACACTGTAAGTATTAGATTTGCCTGACAATACGAGTATGATGTCCAGCGCTTAAATACTTTGTTTTCAGGCCTCAAGTCCAGTACACAACCAGTAGGCAACCAAGTCTTCTTTAATGCAATAACCCACCGTTCAGAAATGTGCTTCACTTGTCATGCACAAATGTTTCAGTACGAGGCTATGGGCAAAATTAATTTAATTCTTTTCTCCTTTCACGAATCACCGAGCATTATGTACGAAGCCTCACACTGAAACCTTTGTGCATGACAAGCGAAGCTTATCTCTAGAGTAGGCTGTTGTCAATGAAAATCCTATTAGTACATCATACTGGTACAGTCATAGAGTGAGTCAAGTCATAAGGTACAGCCTCAAAGTGGCCAACCTCTATTTAACTGCCAGTTGGCTGAGAGTGGTACCCTGCGAGCAGAGTCTCCTCAACTCCTCTACGGGCGTATAGGAGTTAAAAGGAGACTCTGCTCGCAGGGTATGAGAGTGGTTGCTTAAGCTTGATTACAGAATGAGTAACTCACTTTGACATGACTTGGATCGTATGTCATTGCATTCCCTAGATATTCAAAAGCTCTTTGAGTCATTCCAATCTGTCAACATACAAACAATCCACAATCATCAAATGGAGCTTTTGAAGTAATTTTCATTCAATTCTGGTAGCTCCATAAATTTCTTTATTCAAGTGTCTAATCGTTCTAGTGCTTTCGCACTCATTGGGGACACTTTTCAATCACACACACTAACACTACGTTCAATGTTATACGCACATAATGCTCAACTCACGTGTGATGAGAGGGAGTAGAGAACAACACATGAAACAAATTCAGTGCAATTCACATGTGGCAACCACAGGGCTTGAACCACCAACCCAACCCCTTGGACTCACAGCAGTGAAAGCCACCATGCTACCCTTTAACATCTGAATGCATCTGAATGTACCTAGACTGGTAAACAGCCTCCTTTTTTTCTAGTATAAAGAACCCCGAGGGGTTGTTTGGATTGACATGGGATAAGGCTCATCTCCGATGGCTAAATTGACCACGACATAACAGCAATCAATGTACAGCCGAACAGTGTCCAAGGAAAAGTCAGGTTCTGCTTACAGCTAAGGGTCACCTTCTTTATGAGTGCTCCATTTTAAAGACATTTTTAGGTAAGTAAAATAGGACCTGAAGCATGTCCCGGGTTTATAGGGACAACTTCTTCCCATATAAATGCTCGGAATAGTTAAATCGCGTAGGAGGGTGTCCCTGCTACCAGGGACAAGTTTTCCCCATGGAAACAGCCCCTTACCTGGAGGTAAAGTAACCCAAGAGTGGTCATCAAGTCTGGGTTTTCTGGAGAAAATCTATTAATAAACATTAGATAATGAGATAAATAAATAGCATTAAAAGAGAGCATTAAAAAAGGAAAATGAAAAAAGAAAGGGTACTATAGACCCCTTACATGTGACATCAAAATAGCTTGTTCTGGGGGACAAAACAAAAGAATTCCAATCTCATGAGAATAGAAACCTATTGATTTGTCCCCCAGACTGAGCTGCATTCCAAAGTTCTGCAAGGGGTCTATAGAGCTTTTTCACTAATGTGACACGAGGCAACCATAGCCAACCATATTGGTGTACCAAACAACTTACTCAATGGCTTTCTTGTAAGTGTCAATAGCTGATTCAATGTCTCCCTCCATCAGGTAGATCTTGCCCAGCTGAAGGAAAGAGGCATCATGCCGATGGTATTGAATGGCATGCTTCAGACAATCCTTTGCCTAATACAGCAAAAAAGATGGTAAAAATCCACAGGGAACCCAATTAAGATAAATGTGAAAGATTTAAAAAATATTGTATTCAAATTTGTATTATATACAAAAATTGTTCACTCAGTGCAGTTATGAAAAAGGGGGATTGTTACAACACATGTGAAGCGTTGGGCTTATGTCAAAAGCTGAACTTCAAGGTGTCAACAAAGGTGCTGGCAGTCTTCTCAGCCGTGTAAGCCCATCGATATTTGTCTAATTTGTAGCAATTCTATTGTTTAGATTCTCACTTTTGATTGGCTAATTTGTAGAATATTTGTTGGGGTGGCCTTGGTTGGAGTAGGTTTACTGTAAATAAAAAGGAATATCCTTTCTTGCTTACCTTCTCAAAATCTTTTAAATAGAGATAACAAACCCCTAACAAATAAACAGTAAGCAATTAGAAATATATTAACTAAATCATGTTTTTGCAATTCAAACCATATGTTTTACTAAATCATTTCTTTATGCAGTGGTACTTGCATTAAGTAGACACCTTTATGAGAGGTGTCGTCTAAATACACGGTAGAGCTTGTGTTACTGTAAATTATACGGGGGGGGGGGGGGGGGGGGGGAGGGGCTGGTGAATGTGTAATCCCAGAAATGAATATTATCCATACCCCCCTCACAGACGAATTTTTTTTGGGACCCCCCCTCCCTACCCCCTGGAAATTCCAATTTTCTTCCATACAACTCTGTGATTTTTGTTCTTTCTCTGACCCCCCTACCCTTCACAAATTCAAAGTTCCTCTGTGGGGTGGGTATGAATAATTTTTGGAACTACACAATATTGGAACCCTTGCAACTGTACATTAAAAAGGGATCAGCTTTTTTTCAATAGAGGTATCACTGTCAGGTATATAATTTCCTTGCATTGACACATTTACAGTAACATAGATGAAACTGAAACAATATATTCATTTGCTCAATCTTGAGGAAAGAAGGCAATATGGTGTGAAATAAAAAAATATTACCCAACTTATAATTTGCACAAAACGTTCCATGAAACTTCTATTTTGAGATTTCAGAACAAAAAAAAAAAATGCAATTTAAAATGTCAAGCAAAATAAGTTACACCCAAAGAAAAGAGATCTATTGAGGTGTCACTATTACAGTAGATACCTATCATAAGGCTTGCAAACTCGGACATTCAATCTATAATATTTAGTGTGTGTTAGACACTTTTTTATAACACTACTGACAGTACCTTGATTGTGGTAAATTTCCTGTTAAAAATAGACAAAAAAAAACATTAAAAAAACAATTTTTTTGTGAAAAAAAAAACTTTCAAAAAAATGTTGGTATTACAATAGGCTTTGTATTGCTGATTGCCACTCATTTGTCACTCATTCAAGACATGGCAGCCATCATTGGTTGATGAAACAAACCATTGTTAAATTCAAGTACATGTAAGATGGCTGAGCTATGAAAACCAGCAATAGACCAGTTTCAAGTTCCAAATTTTTCCCCAAAAAAATCTTCATTTTTGTACAGGATAATTAGAAGCAGTTTGGGGTCAAAAAGCAAATGTGTTCAACGAATTCTCTGATAGCATTATAAGATGCTTTATTACATTTTGATCAAATCTGTGGTCATGTGAGGTAGCTTATGTACTAACCCAATCCTTGGAGCTCAGTTTTGCTGCTTCATTATACACTTCCAAGGCAGCTTTGTGTCTTGCAAGAAGAAATCTACAATTGAAAAAAAAAATTAAGATTTTAAATGATAATTATAATTATAACAAAACAATGTCAGAGCTTTCTTTAATGATTAGAACCTTTGTGATTAGAATGGCCAAAATAACGAGTGCACTTGTAAGGTAATACACATTTTTGAATTTGTACAATATATTACGGCTGAGTTTCTGGATTACAAAGACATTTACTCAGGACTAGCCTCATTTCAGCATCAAAATATTCACAAATGCCAACGGTGAAGTAAAGAATGCACAACTTCAACAAAGCATTTAACACTTTGAAGTTCTATGGACCTTCACTTGATCAAGTGAATATTCTGCACAAAGTCAAGGCTAATCCTGAGCAACGGAGAGCTCCAAACTGAAGGAATATTTATATCCTGGTTCATCTTTGTAAGACATCTGTATATAGAGGCTTTATAGAAGATTTACATGGTGGATACAAATATACTTGGCATAGATAGGACAAACAAGCTTTAATTTCCAACATCCATAGACCACCTATGCATGCAATGATGTCCCGATAAAGTGGCTATGTCTCCTTGATGACATGCTGGGACAGACAAGACCCAGAGGTATTTGGGCCACTTTGAGATAAATATTTTATTATGAAACACTCAGGAGCACATTAGAAGCATCTTGGAATAAATAAGGCACCCTGAAGTAGCTTTGACAACCCAAGGCAGCTGGGGTACTTAGGAAGAGATGACACACCCAGGGACAGAGTGGCAACTTGTGAGAGATGGGATACCCTGAGGTATCTTTGACAACCCAGTGAAGCTGAGACACCCAGGGACAGATGGGACACCTTGAAATACCTCTGACAACCCAGTGCATCTAAGACACCCAGGGACAGATGGGACACCTTGAGATACCTCTGACAACCCAGTGCATCTAAGACACCCAGGG